GGGAGGGCGGCGGGGAGGGGAAGATGACCAGTGTTCTCCATTAAAGGATTGCTGGTGGTAAGGACCATAGTACCAAACCAAAACGAAAGATGATCCAGATAAACTACAACCTTTTAAGAACAGTTACTATCCAAAACAGGCTGAGCACTGTCTTCCATAAGAATTACTGAGTACCCTGATTAAGATAGCAAGGTTGTGGCAACAGAGTTCTCCTCCCCTTCCACCACCCCTTTGCAACCCAAAAGGGGCCAAATTCCTTCAGTAAATGCTGTTGTTCTCAGTTCCTTAGAATGCTTAGTGTCAATAGAAATCCCATTTGGCATTAAAAAAACAAGCTGCTGGCATTTTGCCCTCAGAAGTCTACCTTTAATAGTTCATCTTCTGTTGCATCTGGGAATTTCTCATGGAGCGAGCTCTTCAGAACTTTGGCTATGTATCTCATTCCATAACTAAATGTAGAACAGATGAAAAGGAAAAATATTGGAAAAGCTTAGATGAAACACAAAACAATCATTCTTGGCTAGTCAGCCAAGTTATTGGCTTTTTCTCTAGCCACTTAAACCAAAATGAGATGATAATGGAAAATACAACGATGTTCATGAAGCTTCTAAAGCAGAGTAGAAGAAGCAGAGAAACCACTCCCTCTACTGGGGAAGTCATTTGAGAGGCACATATCACAAGCCATGTAATTTGAAAGGATGTCCATCACTGAGTTTCAAGTGAAGCTTCACTGTGTACATGATTATCAGAGGGCTAGAGCACCTCTCCTGTGAGAACAGGCTGCGAGAGCCTGTGGCTGTTCACCCTGGAGATGAGAAGACTCCAGGGACACCTTTAGTGGCCTTCCAATACCTGAAGGGGCCTACAAGAAAGCTGGGGAGGGACTTTTTACAAGGGCAGGAAGTGATAGAACAAGGGGTAATTAATGGCTAGAAACTGTAAGAGTGTAGATTTAGATAAGACATTAGGAAGAAATTCTTCACTGTGAGGGTGGTCAGACACTGGAACAGGTTGCCCAGAGAAGCTGTAGATGCCCCGTCCCTGGAAGTGTTTAAGGCCAGGTTGGATGAGGCTTTGAGCAACCTGGTCTAGTGGAAGGTGTCCCTGCTCATGGCAGGGGGGTTGGAACTAGATGATCTTTAAGATTCCTCCCAACCCAAACAATTCTGTAATTCTATGATTCTATGAACTGCAGCTTGGAGAGTCCTAACTCAGCACTTACGGCATCATATTGAGAGAAGAGAATATAGACACGAGAACTTTGTCAGTTACTGCTCGCAAACTCTGAATTGATGATTCCAGTTTATTGACCACTTCTGTGTGTGTTAATGCTTGTTCTGTGGTTACATCGTATGGCAATTTGCTGCAAAGCAAACAGACATAAAACCAGGGTAAATGTAGTTGAGAATACTTTTTTTTTCCTTCATAAGGGCCATCAATGAGCAGAGAAAAATGTCAGACAAATACAGTTGAAGTTGGATAAGTAGCAGAAGTCTCAGATGTGTTAGCTTCCTTTTTTTGGATGGAGGCAGTTTGTTTAGGTGGGGGTGCACACTCCATCATGTACCTTCCCTTAACTACAGAAGGGGAATCCTAATATAGAGCCTGCATCTCCACATCCCGGTTCCCAGCATCCCAGTTCCTCCAAAGCCTGGAACACTACTAACATGCTGTTATAAAACATGGGAAAAGGCTGTAAGTTTTTCTATGGCACAATCTACTACACTTGTTAAGATTAAGTAACTGACTTTTGAAGTTCAGGACCAGGAAAGTAATCCCTTTATTGTCAAGAACGGATTAAAGTACCTGTTTTTCAAGCACCTCTCCCCAGAAACTCTCATTGTGCTGCAGGAAGATGGGTAAATGATACATGGGCACAAGTGCAATTTGTCAGAGAAGGAAAGAGAGAGTAGAACTGGGGGATTCCTTGAGTATTTAAATGATACAAGAAGTCCAGCTTCCTCACTCACCTGGCCTCACCAGTCTGCATTTCCAGCTGGTTTACCCATGACTTGTACACATCCACAGGACTAGTGTTGATTATGAGGGACTTGTCCTCCATGATCTCCTTCACCACTGGGGCCAAGAGCTGGCGCAGAGCATTCTGTCCACGTGCACCTCGATTGAAACTGACAACCATCTTAATGACAGTGGGGTTTCCAGTAACGATATCCTGTATCTGGTCTACCTTAGAGCTGTATCAAAAAGAGAAGAGTTCTCAGATCTGACTTATCTGTGCAGTTATACATATTCTCAAAACCCACACTTTTTAAGTTATAATTTTTCTATGTTGAAACATGATTATACAGCCTATTTCTTAAGCTTTCACATAAAAAAAAAATAAAAAAAAATTAGAGAAACTACTACCTGAATTCTATGTGCTACAATAATGTCCCCAGAACACAGCATAGTTAGTGGCAGCTAATACATACCTGATTCAACTCCATCTTGTTAAGGGGATAAGATTTTTTTTGTTTCGGGATAAAACGCCACTCTCCACT